CAAACTTCACCGCTGCACAAGTGTGGGTCTGGATGCCATAAACGCACTGCCCTGTGCTCACATCCCACAGCTTTGCAGACAAGTCATCTGACCCTGTACAGAGAAGTCCATCTTTGTAGTAAAGTGCATACACTCTGGCACTGTGTCCAATTAATGATGAGGTCTCAAAGGCTTCATGGTCCTCCAGTTGCTTCATTCTTAAAATAGTCTTCAAATAAACCTTCTTCCAGTGCAAAGCGTCCTGAACAGAATCATCTATCTGCCAGCCCAAATTTTTACAAGCAGTCTGCCACACCTCTGTACAGGCACTTATCACCTTATTCCACTGTTTAGAGACGAGGCAGCATGTGAGTAAAGTCTGAGGATCAAGCCATTTTAACAAATAAAAACTGAGCTCCAAGGGAAGGAGTTTGWGGAAGTCTCGCTTGAGGAGAGTCTCCAGGTTATTGGAGAGATGCCTGAGCTGGACTGCCCCACTCAGACTAATCAGGTRATCCAGAGTTTCATTTTTCTGCAAGTCCGTCAGAGAAAGAAACGTAACAGAAATGTTATCAAGCCATGTCTCAAAGTCCTTTCTCTCCATAAGGTTATGGAAAAATTTACCTGAGCGAGCGCCCCGGGGCCCGGGACCTCGCGCCGGGCTCACACCGAGTAGGCGCGCTCGGGCCGCCAGAGCCTCGCAGCGGCGGGGTCCGCTCCGCAGCCATGGCGCCTGGATCTGCGGCCGCCGCTCTGGGTCCGCAGCCTCACTCCAACCTCTATAACTTGTCAGAGACAGTACTACGTGGGCCTGATCAAGCAAAATTTAGGCACAACTCCAAAGATTGTTGAAAACCCACCAAATGTCAGACCCTGTTCTGGGAGCTTTTGCATATATCCTATTTCACCAGCTCAGGTGGGCATTAAAGTCATGTTTAAGCCACTATATCAAATAAATCCTACTGAAACCAGAGTTTCTCTGCTTCTGCTCGCAGGTGGGGTCTGCAAAAACTGCAGGCCTCCACAGCAAAAAATGTGTTGACTATTGGCAGGCTGAGCCCTCAGTATTGCCGTAGACCCCATCAGCTCACAATTAATTTCTTCTTTCTGGGTTCTTGTCTTGCAAATTTGAAGAAGAGGATGAGTAACTGTAAGGGTAGGATTTATTCAAGTATGAATAGAAAGGAACTCCCAAATGGGGCAGGGGGGATCCAGAGGGGTTGCTTCATGATTGTGCTAGTCTAGGGGTTTATATAGCACTTGGATCAACCTTATCAATCCAAATTTATGGAGTTTGGAAAACTACTAATTCTATTAGTTAAAATTTATGCTTATTGAGGATTGTAAAAGAACTAACCACAGCTGGGCATGATGGGGCACAAATGTAATCCCGGCAGCCCGGAGGCTGAGGCAGAAGGATCACACCTTCAAAGTCAGCCTCAGCAATTTTGCAAGGCCCAGAGCAATTTAACAAGACCTTGTCTCTAAATAAAATATTTTGAAAAGTCTGGGGATATGGCTCAGTGGTTAAGCCCCCTGGGTTCAATCCCTGATCAAGAAAAGGAGGAGGAAGAGGAGAAGGAGAAAGAGGAGCAGGAGGAGAAGGCAACACYGACAACTAAGAGTCCACACTTCTGTTAAACATCTGCCCTACACTTATTTTGCCACCTCTTGGGAGATAGGAGGTCAAGATCTTTGAGGTTCCAGGCTGTGCCCTGGGTGGAACAGACATCTGCACTGGCCCAGCTGGGCTGCCTGGGAGTGACAGGTCCACTTGCCCTGGCTTGCCTCGGTCCTGGTTCACTCCAGCATGGTGGGCTGTGCCAGGCAAGGGTCGGTGCTCGCCACTGCACTCCAGCCCACCTGGGCTGCCACTCCACCTTTGTGGGACAAGGACTGGGCTTCACTACTGCTGAGAGAAGTCCATTCATTCTCTGAGTGCTCCTGTTCTTGAGAAGTAAAACCCTCTGGATGCGTACTGAGTCCAACTGAATTAGTCCTGATTACTATTATTACACAAGAAAGAAATGGAATAGTGGGGTGGTTCTGCCTAAGTTTCCAATCTCTCCTGTGGTGAGGCTGGTACAGAAAACAGGAAGACTGATTCTCAGGTGTAAACATCATTGCAATAGTTACTCCATGACATGGGACACTGGGTTCCTTGTTATGACTCTCGTGACATGTAGCTTCATTTACAGTGAGTGAATCAGCAATTTCTCTTGAGGAACTCCAAGGTCCAGTGTGGTAGATGACAGCCTCATTATTCTCTTCCTTCCCGATCCTCCCCTAGGACACCGCAGGCCCTGGGGTTGAGGCTGGCTCTGCACCACCTCCATCACCACCACCATGGAGCAGATCTTCCTAATAGCCCTTATCAGACATTTCTGAAAACCAAGCTTCCTTGGACCATCCTACCCTATCAAAAGTGTAATAATTTGTAACCTCAAAGGAAAAGGGTAAGAATTTGATTTACAAGGGAATGCCCTAGTCTCTTTGCATATTTGCCCACCTCCAGCAACTTTAATATGCTACTTACCAATAAAGCAATGGCAAGATATCATAGCCTGCAACCTGAGCCAAGCCAAAAAAAGAGCTGTTTAACCTAAATATCTAAAATCAGGGCCTTACCTGCTGTATAGGCACACACTGAGAATRGGTTTGGATAATACCAGCTATACCTACAGTGTAAAATATTCACCATGTATGTRGTGACCATGTCTCTGTTTACTGGGCAGTGATCACTGACTGAAACAGGGATTACAAAGGGTATCAGATTTATCAGGAAGATGGTATTTGCTTTAGACATTTTAAGCATACAGTCATTTTTAAAAATATAGGTTGAAAATCTGATGTTTGAAATGCTCCTAAATTCAAAACTTCTAGAGCACCAAGATGACACAAAAAAATTTCAAATTTCAGATTTTTAAATTAGTGATGTTGRAATGGTTAAGTCTATACAAATTTTCCAAAATCCAATATTCTCTGAAGTTGAAATACTTCTTATCCCAAGCATTTTGGGTAGGGGATACTCAACCTATATTCAGGTGGCCCCTCTGAGTGACAGGTTGGAGAGAAGAGAGCGAGCTTGAGATAAGGGATTTGGGAGTGGGCCGCACATTTGTGATGTGAGTCACAAGTGTTGGTGAGATTGAGGAGAAGAAAGAGCTGAGATGGAACCCGAGGGAAGGCATGAATTGAGAAGCAAGCTCACACAGAAAACCAAAAATGTGTCCTTGAGGTGGCAAGAAGATAGTCTGGCCACAGAATCTAAAGGGAAAGAACATTTTCCCGAAGGAGGAATCTGTTTAACAGTGTCTAGTGCAACAGAGGACACACAAGGACTGAAGTCAGGCTATGAATTTCTCAAATAGATAAGACCTGCTCAGGTCTCTTCTGGAAAATTACTCACCAGGGTCATATGATCAGATTACATCTCCTTTTAACAATTTGTACAACTGTACCTTGTAACAATTTATACTTATCTTACTAACAATCACCTAGTAAGCAGCAATTGGGATAACTGAAGGTTTTTCCTACATCTTTTCCCATTTTATCAGAAGTGAAAAAAACAAAGTTCTTGAAACAAGCAAAATCTCATAACTGCTATATTCTGTCTGGGCTTTTTCCACTTGAATACGGTGCTGTCCAGCACAGCACGGGTTCTTCTGTTTAATATATGTGTTCGTGTGTCGGGGGAGGGCTCATTTCTTCTCTCCCAGTTTTTATTGAGATAGTATAAAAAGTTCTCTTGTCTAAAGGACGATGGAAAAGCTCCGTAAACTCAACAAGCCAAAACAACCGTTTACCTGTTGGAGATTTTATTAGCAGGACCATAGCGGCCAGTCGCAGAAGAGAAGGGAGAAGAGAGAGAGAGAGAGAGAGAGAGAGAGAGAGAGAGAGAGAGAGA